GCTGCAGAGGGAAGGGGGTATGTGGCTCTGTGCCAGCTCAGTCTAACTTAATTATACTTTAAACATTATTCCAAAACTGTAATCCCTTATAAACTTGCCTGGCCTTTTGACCCATTGTTCAGCATCACAAACAACGCTAGATATACCTATAGATGCAGACATGAAATATGAGAAACATACATACACATTTCTGCACAAGAGTCAAGAACACTGCTTGTCACATCACACCAAGCATGAATCCATCATACTACTACGTATCGCTCAGGATTAGAAAAGAAGGGAAAAGAAAAAAGAAAAAACACACATAAGCATTTGTTACTGTAGGGATCTTCAAACATGTATTTCTACTTTTCTACTGCACTTTCTATAAGACTAGGACTAATATATGCTAGATTTCTCACACATTTATATACAGGCAGGTTTCCTATATTCACAGATTTTTACAAGTATAGTTACAAACAGAACTTTGAAAAGTCAGAGACCCTTCACCTTTCCTTTCAATTTTCCAGTCAAAACAGCCATTAGGTCAATTTTTAGGAGATATTTTTGAGATTACACATAAAACAATTCACTTGCATAAGGAAGGGGAAAGCCAAAAGAAAACAAGCAGTTTTAAAATTTAGTGTCCAGAAAATTAATTAAAAGGTACTGTCAAAAAAGGTACTCCTAACAACCGTGCAAGACCTGGTAGACCACCAAAACTGTCAGCATCAGATAAACAGAATTTAAAACTTTCATCTTTGAGAGAGAGGAAAAAATCAAGCTCCACTCTTACTTTAGATCTAAAAAAATTAAAAAATAAATACAAAAAAGAACATCTGCAAATAAAAAGAAAAGCTGTTCATGTTCTTAGAATAACGAACTGATCACCCCAGAGTCCAGACCTCAACATTACTTAATGTGCTTGGGATTACTTGGATTGTTAAAAGCAGAAAGTTCAACTAATTTCTAAGACTGATCTTTTGAGGTTGTGGAAAAATATCCCTGGAGATTTCTTTGTAAAACTGAAAGAAAGCCTGCCAAAAAGAATGGAAGGTGTAGTGAAGGCAAAGGATGGACACACTAAACACTAAAACTACATTACATTTTGTTGTTGAGGCTTTTGTTGAATATATGTTTTCTGCTTTCTTCCTGAAGCTAATTTGATGAAAGATTTGATGGTAAAAGATTGTAGTGCTAATAGAGCTGGGAGCTATGGTTAATTATATTTCAATATTAATGCATTTTCTTTGGTTTAAAAATGAAATAAATCACTGTTTTAAGAAAATGATTTTTTTTCAATCAGAACTAACGTGTGTGATCACTAAACAGTCTTTATTAAATGCAATGAGTTATGCTAAATGTTTCCTGCAATAAGAACTAAAACACAGTAAAAAGAAATGCTATTTAGAAATCACCAGGATCCGTTTTCCATTGACATCTATTTTTTTTACTGATGGACAAAAAGAAGGATGGTATAGAGATGTAGTAGAGATGTAACAACACAACATTTACTGTATCGAATCACTGTATCACAGCATATCGTATTGTATTTTTTCATATGGATGTACTGTGAGTAGCATGTTAGCTTGGGGCTTACACATTAGCTTGTGGCTAAGCTAAATAATGAATTTTGTGCATTGTTACACCCCAAGTACATAGTCATTTTTCCTGTGTACTACTTTTATGTATTCCTTGTACTGTAAACGATGCTGTCTGAAGTTGTGAAATACTTTTTTATACTCTAACATCTGTAATGCAATAGATAAATTTGGGTGCTAGATCAAATGAAGCATTTAAAGTGCTCATAACTAATATTTGTCTTGTATTTTTTCCATTTATGACATTTATGTGGTTAATATACCAAAAACAGTCAGAATTCAATTTGGGTGACCACTTCGCTAACCTCTCTTTACCCCTTAAAATTAAACAGGCTATTTTAGTTATTATTAGTTACTATGGTCACATTAAAAGTCTAAGAAGACACACATATGATTGATATGACTGATATGAAATATGAAATATATCTGTTCTGACGGGCTGTCCTGTATTGTGCATCATTCAAAAAGCAGTCCGGGCTGAAACTTGCCTGATTACTTCAGCATAAATGGGCAGTGATAAACTGCTGTAGGTTGTATGTTCATTTTTGTGACATCACAAAAATTTCCAAAGTGAGGGAAATTTTGTTCTCCATGTTATGGGCCATTTTTTCCTCAAATCAACAGTCAAGTGTGACTGCTGATCATGAACATGAGGACATTAATTCTTCAATCCATCAATCATATAATTGTTTCATCAATCATAACGCTTCAATCCCAATGGCCAGTTAAATCAAATTTATGATTTAAGCAGTTTTCTGCCAATCTTAATGTAATGCCAAAATTACTGTGCATGTACATATGTGACTTGCATTATGGTCACACTAAAAGTCTAAGCAGACATGCAGCTGTGTCTGGCTGAAGAGACTACTAATGAAGATAAAAAAGCTAGCTATGGATTTTTACCTTAAAGCACTGTTATGCAATACTGGTGCTGAAATGAATCTGTAAAACACAGCTAGTCAGTGTGATGAAAGACGAGGTGAATTGTGAATACAGTTCTCTGTAGCTGCAGTGTCTCCAGGACGTATCAGCTACGCAGCAGAGCTCTGTGTGCGTGGTGGAGGGGGGTGGGTGAGGGTGGATGGGGGGATTACTGCCTCTAGCTTTAGCGGAATATCAGTTCTGACGCACTGCACAGACCAACCAACCAATCAAATGACCAGTCTGCAAACCGACCAATCAACAGCCAGAGTCAACAAATCTATCTGCCTATGAAGTGAACAATTACTAGGGTCAAGTCACCACAGTGCGGCTTAAAGCCCAGAGCCTGAGCAACCATGAGGGTTGAGTCATCACACTTAAGCAGACATACACTAACCTCGAGTGAAGAAAATGAGGCAAAACAGTTTCCTAGCTGACTGAATAAAGATGCTCTGTTGCTCTGTGCTTTTGAGCAAGCAAACATATAAATAGGAATCTACTTCACACTTCAGTGTCTTTTATCACTTCTCTGAAATAAGTAACTGCAGCATCATGACTCTTGTATGTAGTGATAGAAAGCAGGAAATACAGCACACAGAAAGATTCAATTCCACATGCTGATCTATTTTGCTGTGAGCAACATAGACATACATGTGTTCTTACAACTCTAGAGGCAGATTTGAATGAGTTAAAGGGCACAAAGACCCCATTTACACTTGGTTGCTTAATGCGTCTTGAGTATCAGGATTACATCCTGAGTTTTTACTTTGCTTTGTTGTTATTCACTGTCTTGCTGCATTGCATTATGTTGGCCACACACGGCCGCAATAATGAACTATTCTAAACCGAAGTGATTGTGTAAACATTGGTGCAAGCGAGATGACAGCCAAATTTCAAAAATAACATGAAAGACAAGGAATAACATTGGTGACTGGCTGTTGTATATGAGCTGATTTGCATATTATGTGCAGTCATCATGTAGCAATCAGATTTCAATCTGATTAATGAGACTGCTAAGTGTAAACGCAGGTGATTAAAATCTTATCTGGCTACAATCCAGATATATGCCACATAAAACGACCAGGGGTGCATTTCCAAAAAGTGTCACTGAACAACTACCATAGTTAAATGTCTACACTGCAAAAAAATAGTATATTGTCAAGTAAAATTATCTTAAAATTATCTTAATTTTACCTGTTTAAGGTAATTTTAAAAGAGTAAGTAAAAGAGAAGAGACAAAGAGAGAAGAGAAGAGAAGAGAGACAAAGAGGGAAGAGAAGAGAAGAGAAGAGAAGAGAAGAGAAGAGAAGAGAGACAAAGAGGGAAGAGAAGAGAAGAGAAGAGAAGAGAAGAGAAGAGAAGAGAAGAGAAGGGAAGAGAAGAGAAGAGAAGAGAGACAAAGAGAGACAAAGAGGGAAGAGAAGAGAAGAGAAGAGAAGAGAAGAGAGACAAAGAGAGAAGAGAAGAGAAGAGAAGAGAAGAGAAGAGAAGAGAGACAAAGAGGGAAGAGAAGAGAAGAGAAGAGAGACAAAGAGGGAAGAGAAGAGAAGAGAAGAGAAGAGAAGAGAAGAGAAGAGAAGAGAAGAGAAGAGAAGAGACAAGTAGAGAAAAGACCAGAAGAGAAGAAGGAAAAAGGGAAGCTGTTCATAGCAGACTTCACTGGGTCACCAGCCCTCTCCACTGCGGCCATGGCACACAGCCACTGCAATAAAACATTTACAACCCCTAGCTACAATCACACACACACGCACACAGGAAAAACCCTGCATAAGCAAACATTCCTGAGCACACAGACTTACAGCCAACACATATCCACACCGTTGCATACAGTATACACACTCATTCTGCTTTTGTGAATGCATAGTTGTGGGTAAAACAGTGTTTAGCGCATTATATGCTCAATCGGCTCTCAAGAAAATTAAAGGGTGTGCTATCAGATAATAATCAGTACAATTCAACCCACTGTGGCAAAACAAAGCCCACATATTCCTTGAGCCCACTTGCATTTCTGCCCTTTTATCTTCACTCTAGGACTGACACACATATGTGCATATTTTAAAGTCTCATTTGAAGAGGTTATTAAGATGTAAATTACTCGGAATGAGATGCAAGCGAATGGTCCAGAGCACAACACACATTGAGACAGTAAACAGAAAAGCACATAAATAACAGCAATGTGTGCAACTCTCGCAAGATGATTTTAACACATTGTAGTCTAGATGTATTATTTCTTTATGAATCTTAAGGCTTATGTAGTAACTACTCTGACTTCTTTAGTAACTACTATGGATTTATTTTGTGTGGTATTATCAGAATGAAAAATAGAAGCTGACGGGCTTAAACAGTACAGACTCCCATCTCTTATCTAGAGACTACAGCACGGAACAATTCAGGTATAGTGGATGTGTGAGGAGGGTGTTTGCTGGACTGGCTAAAAAGTGGTCTCATATCTTTCTATAGAGTCACAGTAATCAGAATAGAATAGAGCTGATGTGGTACCTTTTCATAAGGATCAGAGTCATAGTTGAGACCAATTCCACAGTCATCTGTGATCTCAGACAGGTCTTCATCGTCAAACTCCTCCAGACTGATGTCATGAGCTGGCCTGCAGAAAAAAGCAAATTCAAAACTTTATTGAGCACATTCTTTATAGAATAAGAACATATTCTAATAAAATCTGCACAGTACAATCTATACATGACTATACACAACAAAGCACTAATTGGTAATTGAAACAGATTTGAAAATAATTTGCACATAATTACATGTGAGCATACCAGACATAAATGGGATATATTAAATGACAGTTCCAATCAGTCCAATCCAATTCAATCTCATAAAGTGCAGTCGTTTTATGTTTCAACAGGCTATAAAATGTGACTGTTTTGCTTGTATTTGTGAGTGTGTGTATTATATCACCCTTTGCAACTAGGAAGCAAGTGCCTTAATATGGTTGTGCTGTTGGTTTTTTCATTAGCTAGATTAAATACTCTGATGTTATTTAGGTGCAGAAATGGTAAAAATATTTTTCTGATAAACTGACATGTTAGCGCTTTGAAGAAAAGACCTTGTGTAGAACATGACAAGTCCAAATCAGCATCTTTCAGTTTACCTGTAGGCTCTAGTGTTAGCTCCTCTGAAGAGGCTGCCTCATCCGACACAAAAACCTGCAAATTTTCGTTGGCTATTTTTAAATAATAAAACATATTTTCACATTTTAGCCTGCTATCACCAAAGCTGTCCTCTAAAAATAGGCCTAAACCCTATGCTAATTTTGTCAATCTGTTTATTAACTTTTACAGACACTTGAATATCAAAATTAGTTGGAATGCACATCTCTAGTGTCTGCTGTCCTGTTAAATCACTTTTTATAGGCTAGTCTTCAGGGACCCCCAGATGGTTCACATTTTTGCTCTAACAATATGTATTGCTAGTTGGATTGGAGCCTTTTATGGGCTACCAGTTGTTATGGTAAATTATAAACAGTATCATTATACTCAGAGGTTGAGTTGAAAAAATATTTCAAAGGGGATGGTGGATCAAACTTACAACCTGGGGGTTGACTATTTCACTGGTGTATACCATATGGCAAAAACAGCTAATCTGCATTTACTAACTCACTGGGTAGTTTGAGTCACTGTTCAATGGACACGCAAATCCCTGAGACGCTCTGAGAGAGAATGTGTCTGTGTATATGTCTTGGTGAGGCCCAAGTTGAAATATGAGCTGTCATGATCTATCAGCTGATGTTCCAGCAGCCTAGCAACATCCCAAGACCACTGAACCACACACACACACACACACACACACACACACACACACACACACACACACACACACACACACACGGATATTTCAATGGAATACACACACGCACTCAGTTCAAAACCGAACAATGCCATGACTAAGACTCTGTCTGACAAGCCCACAGTAAGTGAACGGTCTGCCCTCGACAGAGTTTACATTCTCCCTCATCTGATGTCAGATATCTATCAGTAGCATTTACAGTAGCTGCAACTCATCCACTGTCCCTGTTAGTTGACAGATATGTGGGTTAGCATGCTGCTAAATGAGGACAACGTCTGTTATGGCTCAGCGCAGCAGCAGAACACGCTACCCTAAGCTTGAGCTACACTCGCTGCTATCACAGAGATGGCACTAGTTCTGCCGTGCCCCACTCGAAAGGAATACTGCAATGCAGCTTTTCAGAGCCAGAAGAAGTCAGTCACAAATCCCTGCAATCTATAGATGGAGGGAGAGAGAGAGCGAGAGACAGAAAGAGAGTGAGAGAGAGACTTAATCTGGCACTGGTCTTCTTTTGGAAAAATCTACGATCTGAAGTATTAACTGTATCACAGCTAATCCGAACTATAGTCAAGTCACATTGTACATTAAAACCCACGTTTTTATTAATATCAACCCATTAAGCTGTGTAAACTTGTATACACCTAAAAATATAATTAATATACAATTCATTCATATGATATGTCTTATATAAGAAATAATAAGCGCATTGTGTTTAGACTGAAAATAGAAATCTAACACATTTCAATGAAATGATCATCCAAAAGCAAAAGAATTTCAGTTAGTAGCTTTAGTGTGGAAAGGCATGTTGAGTGATGTTCTGCTTGTTTACTGAATGTTTTTTTTGCATAGAGCTTATTAGTACAGTGTTGAGGAATCTAAAGATGCTGTTTACTTTCTTCCTGACCAGTCGTTCAATTAATCCCAATTTTTTTTTTCAAAATTATTAGGCATTTTTCTCATAAAATGAGCTCCAACATAAAACACTGTCAGACATGAAACAAAACAGTTAAACAGTAAACAGTAAAAACTGGTACAATATACATTTAATTTACTTGCAATATGCAGTTTGTATTACTATTATACCGTGGTTGGCATCCAATAGCATTTAGTTTATTATTTTATGTTCAGAAATTTAAGACTGTGTCTGCACATGCCCATTAACATTAGGAATGCAAATGAAAAATGTATTTCACATTAGTAAAGCACCAACCTTGAGTTTTGGTTTTAAGTTGTTTGCGACTGAAAGGTTTGTGATAAAATGAATATTTATTTTTCCTTTTACCAAGACATGCAATCATATTTAAGCAATGATACAGAGATAGTTGTAACCTTGGCAAAGCCTTTATGATAACTGTGGGAGAGATAAGCAAGCAATTATTTTCCACTGAGATATGTGAAAACTTGAAAATATATTAGGAACAGCTGTGCCTACGACAAGCTGTACTAGCTGTAGATTTTGCCAGCTGAACCTAAAACTGTTCACTTCATGCAGCAACAAGCAGTTTAATCTTTTACGCGGCCAAAGCCTGTCGGCAGGCCCAAAGTTTTATTACACACTTCTATAACGATATAGCTCAACTAGTTTGCATTGAAGTTCATGTAGTTGCTGAATAATAAGCCCTTTTTTTCAAGGCAAGTAAATTCTCTGATTAAAATCAAGCAAAATAACACTTCAGAAGAACAAAAGCAATGTTCTTCATTAATTCAAATCCCACAGACACTTACAATTCAACTCTCCCCTCTGTGTATGTAAAAAGCTATGAGTATCCAGAATGCTACAGAAGCTGTATGTCTTCTGCATTTCTGTCTGTATCTGTAGCTCTAAAAATGCTAGAAAACATCACACCAGTGTCAGTGTTCATTTTCCTGTCACACCAAGACAAACTACTATTCACACTCAATTGAATTTATTTACTGGAACACCAAATAAAGTACACATTCAAGTACTCTGAATATTTATTTTCTTAGAAATGCTACTCCATTACAGTCCTGAGTTATCTTATAGAAGGTTTATAATGGAACTAATTAGGATGAATTTGTCTAAATCTTTCTTTCATTCTTTTTTAAGGTTTTCTCCATTAGTCAGTCCATTTCTTTTTTACATGCCTTATCAGTGTTATCATAAGGAAAGCCAAGAGTGTGGCAAGTGTTTTCACAGGCTTACAGCCATCAGAGAACAAAGTGCTGACTCCGGTAAAGACGAGTGTGTGTGTTTAAGGGACAGAGAGATATGAGGCCCCTGGTATGAGTATATAAGGGCCTCGGTGTGTGAGAGGCCGGCGTGTTCATTCAGCTAGGCGGAGCACAGAAATCACTATGAAGAGTCTGATCGTCCTCGTGGCGTGCCTCGTCCTCTCAGAGGCCATCATCAGGTAACAGAGTTACGCTTTCTTGTCTCTCATCTTCTTTTGCTTTAACATTCATTCTGACTCTAAGTTACATTCTAGAGGCAGCATAGGGATAGGAACTTTGTCAGTCATCGCTTTTGGGAGACTTTGGGTTCTGTGGAGCAATGTGATAGAAGAACCACTTATGGTTTCCTAAAGAACCTTTCAATAAATGGTTCTTCATAAAACCATTTTTGTAAAGATGTGAGATCTGAATGTGAAAAAATGTTTACAAGTTTTAAAAACTCCATATCATGTAATGTTTCTGTACCAATTAAAGGCCATTTAGGAACCGTTATTTTAAGAGTGTAGCTTCCTTTGAATGTGATACTGGTTTATTCACACTTCTCAATTTAGCTGACGCCAGCTACCAAGCTACATATGCTGTCTGTCAGGTTGCAATGCTGCCATGATATTTGCTGAAAATAAGGTATTTTAGAAGACAGCCGTCTTGTGCTACCTTTAAGGTAGAACAGAATTTATCTCAGGGAGCACACAAATGCTGCTCAAAACTGCTGTCTAGGCAACTGCCTCCTATATGGAGCATAACTATAATGTTTATAATGTAACATAATATTCAAATATTTCGACATCCTTTACTTGAATTTATTTTTAAATTAATTTGGTTTAATTTTTTTGCACTATTGCATAAACTGTGTTTATTTACTGACGTTCTTAATAAACCTTAATTGAAATACTAAAAGGTAATGAATAAAAAAATCACAGTTAAATATTTATTTCATAGCAAGATGCATTAAATGTTGATCCTGCCAAATCTGGCAACCTTGATCTGGCTCAGAACAGCAAGGAGTGGTGGCTTAGAGCAGAAACAGCATTTCAACCATCATCTTAAAAACGAAAACAACTTTTTGGTGAACTCTTGTCAGTGAACAGAGGAATGATCCTTAAACTACTCAAAACTGCACCACGCGATTTTAAAGGCTGGTGCAGTCTGAACAATTTTCTTACCGCTCTACACAGTTAGTTGTTTATTCTCTGCAAAAAACGAAAGCAGAGAGCCTGCTGGGTAGCTAGTGCCTGGGTTAACAGAAGTGCCTGGGTTCATAGAAGCAGTAAACATGTTATTCAAATGGCCTTTCCATTTTCAAATATTTTAATGATCAAATTTATCAAATATTATGGAGAAATATTATCGATTACTGCAGCCTTAAAGATGAGCATCGAAAAGTGGGCTATCATGCTGAAACTACTCCACAGCAGCAAATTATCACCTAACATTACATAATGGAAATGTGTGCTCTTTCAGACTAGATTTGTTACGGATACTTTTATCCCTCCGAAATCCCATCTAGCATTTTCTACTGATACCTATTACTCTTGTTCACTCTAGCCTATCGCTTTACATATATATTTTTTCACTTCTGAGTTCAAGTAACAGTTCCAGTGGTCTCATACATGAGTTGGTTTTGTGTGACATTTTAGCCAAGGCTTTGTTCCTTTCTGAAGGGTTCCCCTGAAGAAGTGTAAGTCAATCAGGGAGACTCTGCGGGAGAAGGGAATCCATCTGCCCTACAGTGATCCCGCCCTCAAATATCAGCGCCCTGAGGTCCTGGCCACCAGCACCATCGAGCCCATGACCAACTATGCTGATGTAAGTCAAAACACAAATCCTTATTTCTGAAACTATCTACTGGAGGTGTACACATCTGATCTCACAACAAATTGACTATGATTCTTTAGGAAATGTTTCCATGCATCATGAAACCTCAAATTTCACTACACTGCACTACTTGGAATAATTATTTACAGAATTATTTTTTTTTTAATTATGCTAAACTACTGGCATAATTATAGAATTATTCGAATGCTATGAAATATCGGCAATAAAAACACTACACCAAGACTTTTTTGGGATTTTTGCATTTGAAAAAAGCCCGAGAATATTATTTTGACCAAGTCGATGCACATAAGCACACGCTTTATTGAATATTATTATAACAATCCATTAGATTGTTGCAACATTCCAAAAGTAGCATTGCCACCTTCAGATCAATGCACTTTGATGCATCAGTACATGCTTAGACAATTACTGTTCAGCTGATCTTTTTTAATGCCTGTTTCAGTCGTCCTACTATGGTGTGATCAGTGTTGGCACTCCGGCCCAGTCCTTCCGGGTTCTCTTTGACACTGGGTCTTCCAATCTGTGGGTTGACTCTGTCTATTGCAGCGCCCAGGCATGCAGTAAGTCATTCTACATACAACCCCCAACACTGCCTCAAGTACGTTAATGTATTGGACACACTGGGATACCTGGCATGTGGCAAAGTGATACCACCACTGTAAACAGTAAACAGAGATCTTTGTATTTGAGCAATGAGACTTAGCTACTGTGGCATTTTCTCCACAGCCACTCATACCCAGTTCAACCCTCAGGAGTCCTCCACCTACCAATCCACCTCCCAAACCTTCTACGTGTCCTATGGAGCTGGATATCTCGATGGCGTCTTTGGATATGACACCGTGACTGTGAGTTTGCCATAAAAGTCAAAGTATATTCTGATGTGCTATGACTATGCCATGCTCCATGATGTTAGACAAACCGCAGGTTGTTAGAGATCTCACGATTTTTCAACTTCATTTTGCCTTCATTAGCTGTCTGGCATCACCATCCCCAACCAAGATATTGGTCTGAGCACCAACGAGCCTGGCGAGAACTTCGTGGTGGCTCAGTTTGATGGAATCCTTGGTCTGGCTTACCCATCCCTTGCTGTCGGCAGTCAGACGCCCCTTATGGATACGATGATGCAACAGGGTCTCCTGGAGCAAGACTTGTTTGCTGTCTATCTGAGCGCGTGAGCAATGTTGGCATAGAGGTTTACAACAAAGACAAACCCACTCCTCAGCGTTACGACAGGCATTCTAATTAAGCATTATACAGTACACAAACAGCGCTATGCACCATTGCATGGAGCTCTAAATAATATGTACTGTCTAACCAAAAGACTGTTTAGAATGTTGTTGAGCTTATATTTAAAACTGTGTACGGCCTCTCCTTGTGCAGGAATGAGCAATCCGGCAGTGAGGTGGCTTTCGGTGGAGTGGACCAGAACATGTATCAGGGTGAAATCTACTGGACCCCCTGTGACTTCTGAGACCTACTGGCAAATTGGCATTCAAGAGTGAGCTCATTTATACCATTTTATCCTACTTAAGGGCTACCTCTTAAACTCTTACAATAAGGAGGAATACTATTTTAGAGGCTTTTAGAGATGCAAGTAACTTCTTAAGCTTTCAATTCTGTTCAGAACCGGTGGAAATAACAGACTATTATGTTGCACTTTTGCGATAGGTCTTTGGGTTCTTGAGCTACAACTCAAAACTATTGACATCCTCTGTACTAGGTTTCTGATTGGAGGACAACAGACTGGCTGGTGCTCCCAGTACAGCGGCTGCCAGGCCATTGTGGACACTGGTACCTCTGCGCTCACTGCCCCTCAGTCATATCTGTCCAGCCTGATGCAGTCTATTGGAGCAGAGGAGAACAGTTATGGAGAGGTAAAGCACAACACTACAGACTAAACAGTGATTGATTTTAAACACTGACAAACAGTCTTATAAACTAAGACAGGTCTAACTGACGTTAAATCACCTATGACAACTAATGTATGTAGTGTCTCAATCAGTAAGGATGTATTCTTCAGCTTTAATTTTGAGTATAGACATTACCAGCTTCTGCTTATACATGCTGTAACAGCTGGTGCTTACTACAGCCAACTGACCTGAAAGCCTACATACAATTTCTCTGATCTTCTAACAAATCTCTCTCTACATGTCTTTCTGAATCTCTCTTTTACAGTATGCTGTGGACTGCAGCACGGCAGGCAATCTCCCCAGTCTGACCTTTGTCATTAGTGGAACGGAATTCAATCTGTCTCCCTCTGCCTACATCCAGGTCATTACATTTGCTAGCTTTTGATAAACTGACTTCTAGAATTGTATGTATTAATATAAATTGCTTTCTACTAGGGCTGCAATGAGCAATGCAACACTTCAATGCCACAACACCACTATGTTAACATGCCAAACACCACCATAATGTTATGCGCATATTCCTGGCTTTTTTAAATATATTTTTATTTCCTTTTATTTTTTCTTGAGAGCACAGCTGATTTAAAAGCAGAAACAAGCCACTACATTTGTGCCTCACAACACTGCCAGCTCCTAGTCAATCAGCACAGCCTTTTATAACTGCTGTATGCAGCAAGCAGCAGTAGTGGCCTTATGTGCACCAGTTTTAAGCTTCGAGTCATTTTTTTCTGCTTGCTGTGAGTGGTATGCCCTTCAAGGTTCTTCACTCTCGACTGGCATGTAAACACAAAAGCATCATGGAAGCATTCTGCTTTACCACCATTATCATTGCTTCTGGTATAGACCTAGCCTAAAAGCCTAATCCCCCACCCATTATGGCTTTGATCACCACAATACACTCAGAAAAACATATAATGACAATTTATAACAATACAGATTTGAGAATCATACTGCCTACTCCAGCTTGCAACAGCTCTTTCAGGCAGCCACTATATAAAAACTGAACAATTCTAAGATCTTGTAATACCCATGTTCACAGGAGACCCAGAGTGGCTACTGCACCGTGGCCATCACCCCCACCTACCTGCCCTCTCAGAATGGCCAGCCCCTCTGGATCTTTGGAGATGTGTTCCTCAGGGTGTTCTACTCTGTGTACGACCGCGCCAACAACCAAGTGGGCTTTGCCACTGCTGCCTGAACACCATCGCCAATACAACACTCCTAACAGCTCAAAGGCTTCACAGACTTTACCCACATGTCTAATGGAAGCTAGAGTCTCCTTAGCAACATCATTAATACTTCTCATTAATTGCATTGACATTGGAAGATCGCTGTTGGCAGCCTGTGACTAGCCAATAAAAAGCCTGCAGATGTTTTTCTTGAAATCTGATTTTTTTTTTTTAATGACAGTAATAGACAAACACAATCAGTCATAATCGAAATGTATATTTTTAAAAATCCCCTATTCAATATATTGAAACAATATTTCACTCACTGTTTATTGGAGCATTTAGATCAAAATAAAAAAGCAAACTGCACAGTCTCCAGTTCTGATTTCATGTACAAGCATTAACGTAACATGAATAGTTAATCAGTGTGCTGATCCTAGTGTGCTGATTCTAAGCATGTATTGCAGCATTTTAATTCTTCCCTTACATCTGGACTTCACTGGCCGTTTTAAATAGGCCACAGAATAGCAGGGCTTTTTTGACTGACTATACGTGATAAGAACCAACCAAACCTAGCTTAAATGTGAAAAAGCATCATAAATACAGCCAGCTTCTGCTTTCTGGTCTAATCCTGATTGGTTGATGTATATAAACTGAAACGAGCCAATTCTGGTAATGAATATTTAAAGGCAATAACCTGACTGGCAAGATTTCAAGAGAAATAAACAGTTTGTATAATTTACTCAATTTAATTAAGTATTAATTTTCAGAGCTGCAGAAGTTCCATACTTAGTCTCTGTTCATATGCACTGGAGGATAGAAACATTAAAATCTATCTACCAGTTAATCTGTTATGATTATGATTTTGGAGAATTGGAGAAGACCATTAGAGGCACAGTCGTTACCTAAAAAGCTTCATCACAAAACATAACCAACCAACCACTCTTAGAAGAGGACTCAGGAAATTCTGGAAATTAGGTACCTCCATACGGGAATGATGATCAGTTATTACATTCTCTATTGCATTAAGTGTTCTTATTATTACTATTATTATTAGATCTTTTCTCTATGATGAAAGAGAATTCTACATAATTATTTAAGAAAACTTTTACTTGGTTCTAAATAGCAACAAAAAGGGTTCCACTATTGTGACACAGAGAATCCTTTTGCTGAAAGTGTAGTTTGAAGAGTTCAATACCAGAGAGCACCATAAATATTCATACAGCTTTGCAAGTCTAAGTAAATGTTCTTACTTGAAGGCCTACAGTAAGTCATTTATGAATACAAAATACAGTCTTTTTTTACGCTTTAACAATTCTATAAACTAACCAATGGTGTAACAAGAGTAATAATGCAGTGCAAGTCATTGTGTATACTGGGTTTATACTCCAGGCTTGGGTGACCCTAAACATGCCCAAGTGCTTTCCTCAGCCACATTAATATTGCACACGTTCAGCTTAATGTGAATTGTCAAACATGCAGCAGTGAAATCCCCAAACTGAGTCAGAGGATTAGAGGATCACAGGATCCTCCATCTTCTCTCCTCATCCGCATCTTCATACTATCCGATACAGAGCCTCCAATCACAAAGACGAAATTCAGATTTATCCGTTACCAGCAGTTCCTCTGCAAACTCTACACCACAGAGAGGTAACCAATGATTTTACACATCGAGGAGCATCAATAATAAATGGGGTTCACACAGAGCAGCTTTAGCCACCACAGCTGTGCTGGAAATTCGTCACAACTAAATTATGTTCCTGTAGGCCGTATCAGTGCATCTCTCTTTCCTGTCTGCTAAAGACAGTTATTTGAAAGCAGGGAAAACATAAAAAGATGCACCAAATTATCATATTTTACTGATGAAAAAAATGTCATAGGAACCAGAACAAGATGGCTGCCCAAACCACAGTTTTACACCACAATCCTAAAATTACTTCCATTTCCTCCAAAAATTTCACATCTGATTCATAAAGCAACAGAAGTATTTAGGCCAGAACATATTACTATTTGTTAAAGTAATACAAAAAAACAATCAGCTATGGTGGTGGTGATGTGACAATTTCACCCCCTCACACCATAGATTATCCACATTTGGTGGGGAGTGAGTGTAAATTTCAGTTGCTGGTTATAAACGTTGTAAGTCAGGCCGGCTACTTTCCCACCAACTAAAGAGTCAATAGAGTAACGATAGAGTATAAGCCTTCCTGACTTCAAGCCATAACCACATCTGTGTTTGATTAGTTACATAAGCCTGAAATTACTGGGCCTGTGGCAATCATGACATGACATGAAATTTAGAACTTTTGTTTTTGTAATTAAGCGTCTCGATAAATGTGCTTTCTTTTATTTTTATTTATTTACCTCAACCCCAGCAATGAAAATACACATATTCATATTCTGTTTGTTGCAATATAAATAGCTACAATTAGCAACATGTGATTATGCAATCTGGAGTAGAGGCACCTGGATCATGTATTTATTAAAATCATTTGTTTATAGAGAGTTTCAAATGCAGTACAATAAATAAAACTGAGACATTTTAGCACAGTAGCCCTGCACCGCCTACAAGTTCTGCTTATCCAGAGTACAATAAATATGTAATCAGTTTTAAACAATTATCTGCCCGGATATGATTCTGATGTCACTGTGCATCCTTAATTAAGACAAGACAAAAGTGTCTATGGAGAAAATGAGATATATAACATACACATATATGATTTCCTGATGTTTTCCATTATTTGAGAAACAGGCCAAGCCTTTAGAAATTAAGAAGTACATATCATTTTCTGAATCTATCAATCAGTCAATCGATCAATAACACCCTTCCAGAGAAGAGGATGTAGTTTACAGATGAGGTCATTAGTCATGAGACACAAAAGCTGTCTTTTGCGGGTCAATATATCCAATTCCCTGACCCTAAGCGCTACATTAAAAGTCAGATTGAAAAAAAAATTTTTTCCCTCTCTGTGCTGACCTGTTTGCAAATATCTGTGGGCGTGTTTGTTTACATAATGACACTATATTAACAGAGTAGAGGGGAAGAATCAGCACAAATTCACTCCTCAACCCCACCCTGTCATCACGGTTCCTAAGGCAACCCTGTACTGAATCCTCCTATCCCATCCATCCTTATTACAGAGGGCGTTGTCTGTTCAAGGCTCTAGAGAGGCGCATCAGCTGCCAGTCATCTGCTGTTGCCATAGCAGCTGGTGCTGTGTGGAGTGTGATGTCACACCATTAGCAGAATCCCCCGCGGGTTTAGCCAGGTTAAGCAGGGTGAGGTCACCTTTACCGCCGTTGCCATGACAACGCCACCCTATTACAGTACAGGCTAATTTGCTGACTCATGGTCCTTTTGTCTGAAGATGGCTGTTTCAAATCAGCAATTTCTGTAACTTACATTTGCAGATCTCTGAGATTAGTTTTTGAAGTATTTAATCACTGCACCAATCATTTTACAGATGATCACATATACATTATCCTACTCTCTCAACTCTCTTTATTAATCCTACTCTCTTAAGTGTCTTTCCTGAAGAGTAAAAGAGAGAGAGGGAGAGAGAGAGTGAGAGCAGAGAGATAGAAAGATAGCAAGAGAGAGGGGAGCGAGAGAGAAAGCAAGGAAGACAGAGAGAGAGAGACAGGGGAGAGAGCAAGAGAGAGAGAGGAGAGAGAGAGAGAGAGAGGAGAGAGAGAGAGAGAGCACCTAAAATGAAACTAACTGCTTTTATGAGCTGCACTGTAGAGATTTCCACAATGGTTGACAATTTTCATTTCATTATGTAGCTGTAATGCTACAGTGAGTCTAAGAGAACAGATGCAGATTTAAAGTGAGACTGGCCAGGGCTTCCCTGACCTTCTCCCTGCACCCCTCCTTCATTCCTTTCTTTTTTCCCTCTAAAATGTCTGTGGGTATGTTTGTTACATAAACATTTCAAGACAGTGACAGCAATGAAGAAATGCTGAATATATCCAGTATGTGTCAACACATTCACACTCTTTCTCTCTCTCTCTCTCTCCCTCTCTCTCTCTCTCTCACACACACACACACACACACACACACACACACATACACACACACACACAGCCTGCAGACTAGTGGTGCACTGCATGTGTCTGCATAAATCATGAAAAGGTGGGCGAGAAGAGCGGATGGGTAGATGATGAGAGTGACAGAAAGATGAAGAAAGCAGGTAAAAGGCAGTGCTGAAAAAAGATGGAAAAGATGACTTGTACACAAGACGTTCTCACACTAAATACAGTTGTTACAAAATACCAAAATATTTAACATTTTACAACATTTTAACTGAAATGTAAAATGGCCATTTCAGATATTTATGTATTTATATAGAGATTACTATCTATATTTTAGAAGTCTGCAAATTTAGATAAAAATGTGAAATTCACAATTTTAATCTGCCACTGCTTCTTTGAACTATGAACAAAATTCTTCCTAAAAAACTATGCTTCTAATCTTTAGTGCTCAGACTGAAAAATACACAAGATGGCTTGAGTTACAGACTGCATCCCTGAAGTAAGAACCAAGGAAAGCTTTCCGGCTTTCCAAATGCTAATTTTCAGAAGGCCAGCATTGAACGTGCATAATAAAGCAGAGCTCTGAAGCGGATGTGCACCAATCATGAATTTTTATAACCGATTCTGATTTCTTTACAACCAATTTGTCCGATGGTCAATTTTTTTCTAGCCTTTTTTTTTAAACTAAGCTCACACTGTGTGATGAACACATGTAACAATATAAAAGCCACAATATAATAACATTGTTTACTTTTTAATGGGCTAAACTGTCATTTAACATTCTTAAGTGAAAAATTTGTTTGTAATTTAATTATGATATGAATCAAAAATCATGCTACATAAAAATTAAGAGGAATCTAGCACAATGCGACATGCATAATCCTGCTTTTTGGTAATTTTTGGTATTCGGTTTTTTACATCACAAAATTGCATAATTGTTGCCCTTACCGTGCTGCCTGGCTTGGATGAAATGCAGACATTAGGATGTAACATTTGGTTTTTATGTGGTATGTGTATTTTTTGTCTTAGCAGTTTCTCAATCTATTTTCAAATGTGCACTAAACTCAGATCTGCAGTCCAGCATAAATCCCATCAGTGCTACAACAGGGTGATATCGCAGTGTGTGGCAGAGATGAGTTGGTTTGTGCCAGAGAAGCAGCGTCTAGCTCTAGTCTGCTAGCATGTAATGGTGTTTTTCCACTAGGCAGTGCAGTATGGTACGGTACAGTTATAAATCCGTGATCATGCATTTTGTCGTCATTTCCACTGCCAAGTGAACTGTACTGTTGAATTTGGCTACCCTTCATGCAGGGTTCCAAGTAGGGCTGTACAATATTGA